TAAAGCAACAGAATATACATTCTTCTTGAGTGCACATGGAACATTCTCCAGAATAAATCACATACTGGGTCACAAATCAGGTCTCAACTGGTACCAAAAGACTGGGATCATTCCCTGCATATTTTCGGACCACAGTGCTTTGAAAGTTGAACTCAATCACAAGAGGAAATTTAGAAAGAACTCAAATACATGGAGGCTAAAGAGCATCCTACTAAACAATGAGTAGGTCAACCAGGAAATTAAAGAAAAAAATTCATGGAAATAAAAGAAAATGAAAACATAACTATTCAAAACCTTTGGGATGCAGCAAAGATGGTCCTAAGAGGGAAGTATATAGCAGTACAAGCCTTTCTCAAGAAACAAGAAAGGTCTCAAATACACAATCGAACCCTACATCTAAAGGAGCTGGAGAAAGAACAGCAAATAAAGCCTAAACCCAGCAGGAAAAGAGAAATAATAAAGATCAGAGTAGAAATCATGAAAACAGAAACCCAAAGAAGAGTAGATCAATGAAACTAGGCACTGGTTCTTTAAAAGAATTAATAAAATCGATAAACCCCAGGCCAGACTTATCAAAAAGAAAAGAGAAAGGACCCAAATAAATAAAATCATGAATGAAAGAGGAGACATCCCAACCAACACTGAAGAAATACAAACAATTTTAAGAACGTCCTCTGAGTAACTATATGCCAACAAATTAGGCAATCTGGAAGAAATGGATGCATTCCTAGAAACGTATAAACTACCAAAACTGAAACAGGAAGAAATAGAAAACCTGAATAGACCCATAACCAGCAAGGAAATGGAAGCAGTAATCAAAAATCTCCCAACAAACAAGAGTGCAGGGCCAGATGGCTTCCCGGGGGAATTCTACCAAACATTTAAAGAATTAATAGGTATTCTTCTGAAGTGTTTCAAAAAACAGAAATGAAAGGAAAACTTCCAAACTCGTTCTGTGAGGCCGGCATTACCTTGATCCCAAAACCAGACAAAGACCCCATCAAAAAGGAGAATTACAGACTAATATCCCTGATGAACATGGATGTAAAAATTCTCACCAAGATGCTAGCCAATAGGATCCAACAGTTCATTAAAAGGATTATTCACCACAACCAAGTGGGATTTATTCCTGGACTGCAACGCTGGTTCAACAACTGCAAATCAATCAGTGTGATACACTACATTGATAAAAGAAAGAACAAGAACCATATGATCCTCTCGATAGATGCAGAAAAAGCATTTGACAAAGTACAGCATCCTTTCTTTTTTTAAGATTTTATTTATTTATTTGAGACAGAGAGAATGGGAGAGAGAGAGAGAGCACATGAGGGGGGGGAGGGTCAGAGGGAGAAGCAGACTCCCTGCCGAGCAGGGAGCCTGATGCGGGACTCGATCCAGGGACTCCAGGATCATGACCTGAGCCAAAGGCAGTTGCTTAACCAACTGAGCCACCCAGGCACCCTACAGCATCCTTTCTTGATTAAAACTCTTAAAGAAGAAGTCAAACTCTCACTCTTCACAGATGACATGATACTCTATGTGGAAAACCCAAAAGACTCCACCCCAAGATGGATCGAACTCATACAGCAATTCAGCAACATGGCAGGATATAAAATCAATGCACAGAAATCAGTTGCATTTCTATACACTAACAATGAGACAGAAGAGAGAGATATTAAGGAGTCAATCCATTTACAATTGCACCCAAAACCATAAGATGCCAAGGAATAAATCTAACCAAAGAGGCAAAGGATCTGTACTCAGAAAACTATAGAACACTCATGAAAGAAACTGAAGAAGACAGAAAGAAATGGAAAAATATTTCATGCTCATGGATTGGAAGAACAAATATTGTTAAAATGTCTATGCTACATGGAGCAATCTATACATTCAATGTAATCTCTATCAAAATACCATCAATTTTTTTCACAGAGCTGTAACAAATAATTCCCAAATTTGTATGGAACCAGAAAGACCCTGAGTGGCCAAAGGAATGTTGAAGAAGAACACCAAAGCTGGTGGCATCACAATGCCGGACTTGAAGCTCTATTACAAAGCTGTAATCATCAAGACAGTATTGTACTGGCACAAACACAGACACATCGATCAATGGAACAGAATAGAGAACCCAGAAATGAATCCTCAACTCTATGGTCAACTGATCTTTGACAAAGCAGGAAAGAATATCCAATGGAAAAAAGACAGTCTCTTCAACAAATGGTGCTGGGAAAACTGGACGAGCCACATGCAGAAGAATGAAACAGAACCATTTCCTTACACCATACACAAAAATAGACTCAAAATGGAGGAGAGACCTAAATGTGAGACAGGAATCCATCAAAATCCTAGAGGCGGGGGGCTCCCGGATGGCGCAGTCGTTAAGCGTCTGCCTTCAGCTCAGGTCATGATCCCAGAGTTCTGGGATAGAGCCCCGCATCGGGTACCCTGCTCAGCAGGAAGCCAGCTTCTCCCCTTCCCACTCCCCCTGCTTCTGTTCCCTCTCTCGCTGTGTCTCTCTCTGTCAAATAAATAAATAAAATCTTTAAAAAAAAAATCCTAGAGGGAGACACAAGCAGCAACCTCTGTGACCTCGGCTGCAGCAACTTCTTGCTAGACATGTCCTCAAAAGTAAGGGAAACAAAGGCAAAAATGAACTACTGGGACTTCATCAAGGTAAAAAGCTTTTGCACAGCAAAGGAAACAGTCGACAAAACCAAAAGACAACTGACAGAATGGGAGAAGATATTTGCAAATATCTCATCAGATAAAGGACTAGTATCCAAAATCTATAATGAACTTATCAAACTCAACATCCAAAAAACAAATAATCCAATCAAGAAATGGGCAGAACACATGAACAGACATTTCTCCAAAGAAGACATACAAAAGGCCAACAGTCACATGAAAGAATGCTCAACATCGCTCAGCATCAGGGAAATACAAATCAAAACCACAATGAGATAGCACCTCACACCAGTCAGAATGGCTAAAATTAACAAGTCGGGGAACAAGAGTTATGTGGCAAGAATGAGGAGAAAGGGGAACCCTCCCACACTGTTGGTGGGAATGCAAGCTGGTGCAGTGACTCTGAAAAATAGTATAGAGGTTCCTTGAAAAGCTGAAAATAGAGCTACCCTAGGACCCAGCAATAGCACTACTAGGTATTTACCCCAAAAGTACAAATGTAGTGATCCAAAAGGGCACCTGCACCCCAATGTTTATAGCAGCAATGTCTACAATAGCCAAACTACGGAAAGAGCCCAGATGTCCACTGACAGATGAATGGATAAAGATGTCGAACATATATACAATGGAATACTACTCAGCTATCAAAAAAATGAAATCTTGCCATTTGCAACAACGTGGATGGAACCAGAGGATATTATGCTAAGCCAAATAAATCAATCAGAGAAAAACAATTATCATAATATCTCACTCATATGTGGAATTTAAGAAACGAAACAGAGGCTCATAGGGGAAGAGAGGAAAAAGAAAACAGAGAGGGAGACAAACCATAAGAGACTCTTTAATCATAGGAAACAAACTGAAGATTCCTGGAGAGGGAGTCGGGGGATGGGGTAATTGGGTGATAGACATTGAGGAGGGGATGTGATGTAAGGAGCACTGGGTATTACATAAGACTGATGAATCACTGACCTCTACCTCTGAAATTCATAATACATTATATGTTAATTAATTAAATTTAAATAAAAATAAAAAAATAGTAGAGAGACAAAGAAAGATAAAGCCAATATGACAAAATATCAATAATTACTTAATCTAGAAAATGGATATACTCTTCTCTCTACTTTGGTGTTTGAAAAAATCTCAAATTAATAAATAATAAATAAATCTTAAACTTGTTATAGTAATGAAGGAATATACAACCACAAATATTATTGATTATATAAAGATTAAGTTCATACTCAAATCAAAGCTTTAACATGGTACAATTACCAACTCTTGGACCACAGTGAGCCAAAAGGTCACAAAATAATCCTATGATTAAAATTAGTTTGCTCTCCATTCTTCCACAAGCAAAAATGCAACAGCATTGAAAATTTGGGGGACAAGTCTTGGTGTTTCAAATCAACCTTAAATAATAATATTTGTTTTGCTTTTAACAATACAAATCAGGTCATCTATTGTATCAATATTCCAACCCACACTTCTCAAATTATCAATTTCTCAGGCCAGTGTGGTAGAAACTACCAAGATATGTACCTGAGTGTGAGTAAACTTAGCTTTTTGAGACCTGAAGACAATGGTAAAATGTAATGATAAAATAAATTTAAAACAAAATGGAAAATATACCTTTTTAACGACAACTAAGACTGAGCCGTAAACTTTTTATAAACCAAACACTATCTTCAAATGTGTCTAAAATTATCATATACCATTTGTGAAGTGTCCAAAGAAATAATCGTTCTTGTCTCATCTGCAGGACATGTTAGGCCATATGATACACTTGTTCCTCCTGCCAAAATAGGAAACAACTTTAATATTTTATTTTTTAGCTACATTTCTAGGGCAAATCCCTAATACAAAGTATACAAACAGGCCCGCTAGAAAAGTAATACCTATTTCTACTTTGCAAAATGTAATTTGCAAATGCTAACACACTAAAAGCAAACTCACCTTTATTTTATGCTGCATGCCAAAATGAAGAAATATTATGGAGCTGAAAGCAATGGGATATGGCTCCATCCCCTGGGCACACTCAAGTGACGCCCCTAGCAATTTGTGAAACTCCAAAAACATGATTAGAAAAATTCTAAGCTAATGATTACTCTGGAGATATTGCTTAAAAGAAAAAATGCCCTTCCTAATTCAACTAAAGACACCTTACCTTAATTATAAGACTCATTTATGATTTGAAATAATATCTTATATTGTCATACAAAAAGACTTTAATAAATTAGAATATAAACAAGTTAAAATTGCCCAGATTATATAATATTGGAACAAATTTATATGCTAATGATGAAAAGGTGATTTTAATATAGAATAACCAATATATACAACTATATAAACAATGTACTCCTGTTTCCATTAACATTTGTTACCAAAGGAAAAATGTTTTCTTGATACCAACGTAAAATAATACTATGTTTAGTCCTTAACCATCTTATTACCATATATCAGAGTAAATTCTTAACTGGTATTTCCATTTGTCTGGGATAGAAAACTCTTGATACAAGTAAGAATTACAAGAGGTGCTGATCTAAATATTCAGTTTACTTTTACAAGATGAGACCATGAACTGTCAATTAAGAACATGCCTGTAATCAGTAAACACTATTTGCTTGTCATAGTCATTTGAAATCAGAAAAATATTTCGCTAAAAGTGGCACTGTAGTGCCTTTTTTTTTTTTCATGAATTCAACTGAAAGTATCAGCTGAAGAAGGAACTTGGAGCTCCTGATTTGTTTGGGGTCCCACTTCTGTTCCATCAATGCTAATCGAATCAGTGAAGGCAATTTCCTTTGGCTTGGGTAGGTTATTAAAAGAATGTGGTTGATAAAAGATCAAAAAGCAATGTTAGTTTTCAACATTAAAATGTATTACTGATCTGGTCAACATCGTCCTAGTTGATCTTTCACACTGCATAGTGTTCCTTCCCAAAAGTATATATTGGGTATATTTAGCCTCTGAAAAATAACATTCTCTCCATAAAGATAAAAGTTATAAAGTAATTACTAAAGTGGGAACATTTTCTTATTTAAGCATTAAATCACAGTGTCAACTAGGATCTATATGGGAAAGAACCCATGAACTACATGTTTCAAACAGTTCAGGTAGATAGACCTACTCAAAAATGAGCAGCATAAACAAATTTTTCAGAATAACCATATCATAATTACAAGAATGTTTACTTTCAATGGGATGGCACAAATATTTAGAATACAAATAATTTAAATAAAAATAAAAAACACATATACATCGTATCAAAATTTAAAAGGCACAATACCTACCACCAATTGGTATGATACAAAGGTTATATTTGCACGCTAGATTCACAATCTTAACTACATCATCATGACATGCTGTTGAAAAAAAGGGAATATAAATTAATCATAGGGATGTGAATAAACCTGGGTAATCCTGCAAAATAAGGGTCCATGAAGTTCTTTAGTGTCTAAACTTTTTCATTTATTCACTCATTAACACACATTAAACAGCTATATTAAAACAAAATGTTTATTATTTATCTTTTTAACTTTTCATTTTGAAATGATTTAATACTTACAAAAAGGTTGCAAAAAAGGTACAAAGAATTTCCTTCATCCAGCAGACATAAATATTAACATCTTACAATTATCAAAACCAAGCAATTTACTATTACACAATACTATTAACTAATCTACAGACCTTATTCAAATTTTGCCAATTGTTCCACTAATGTCCCCTTTTCTGGACCAGCCAATCACACACTGTATTTAGTTGTCATATCTCCTTACTCTTATTTTTTTTTTTTTTTAAGATTTTATTTATTTGACAGACAGAGAGAGAGCACAAGCAGGGGGAGCAACAGGCAGAGGGAGAGGGAGAAGCAGGCTTCCTGGTGATCAGGGAGCCTGATGCGGGGCTCTATCCCCCAGGACCCTGGGATCATGACCCGAGCTGAAGGCAGACGCTCAACGGACAGCCACCCAGGAGCCCCTCCTTACTCTTCTTTAATCTGAGAGAGTTCCTCAGTCTATTTTTTATTTTTATTTATGGCACTGACACTTTTGAAAAGCCCTGGTCAGTTATTTCATAGAGCATCTCTCAATTTGGGTTTCTGCCTCCTCATTATTAAATTCAGGTTACACATTTAGGCAGGAATTCTACAGAAGTGATGTTGTGCCTTTCTTAATGAGTTACATATGGAGGGACATGATGCAGACAGGTCTCATTTCTGGTAATGTTAACTTTCATCATTTGGTTATAAAGTATCTGTTAGGTTTTTCCACTGTAAGAATACTGCAATTAATAAGTATCTTATGGGGAGAGAGTTACTCTATATAAATATGTTTGTCATCATACTTTCACCCACTAATTTTTGCAGCCGTTGATGATTCTTTATTCTGCTTCTTTAAACAAATTTTAAAATGCTATACATAATGTACTACAGATATTCCTTCCCATTGCATACAACTAAAGAGTACTCTTTATCAGAGTAAAGGCTATATGAGTAACAAAAACCTGACAACAGAAGATTTTAAATACAAGACACACAAGATGCTAAACCTCAATCTGAGTAGCAATAGAGCATTAAGCCAGGGACCAACATGGCAAATAAACTATTTGAGAAAGATAAATCTCCTGATAATATGGAATGGCAAAGAAGAGAAAAAGACTTGAGGCAAGGAAACTATGCAAAAATCCAGTATTACCGGGGCACCTGGGTGGCTCAGTTGGTTAAGCGACTGCCTTTGGCTCAGGTCATGATCCTGGAGTCCCAGGATCAAGTCCTGCAGGGCTTCCTGCTCAGCAGGGAGTCTGCTTCTCCCTCTGACCCTCCCCCCTCTCATGTGCTCTCTCTCTCTCAAATGAATAAATGAAATCTTTAAAAAAAAAAAAATCCAGTATTACCTGCTAAGAGAATGAAAGGGAAATTTAAGGATGTAAAACATACAAGTGAATATCCATTTATGAAAGTAAAAATATTGTTCCGTAAGAGTTATCATTTCTCAGGTTTGTTTAAAACTAGGAATATGTCATTTGTATCATTCCAATTTTTAATGAAAATCCATTTTAAGCTTTCAGATTAAGCTTATAAAAATTACTGTCTGTGGTAAAATTTTTTACTAAGTGGAATACTAGTTGATTAATAATTAATAAAATAACCAAACATGACTGTCAAAAATCCTTTAACAGGGCAAAACTACTTCTATGATTGTCACCTAATCAGAAGCTTTCTTTGACCATGTTATCTGACACAGCACTCCCTCATTCCACTGCCCACCTACACAGTTCTCTATTTTCTTACTGTGCCTTTTCTTTACAGGATTTATCACCGCTCAAAACATTATATATTTATTTGTTCTTTTGTCTGCCTCCTTCCTCACTAAACTGTATGGCACCTGAGAACAGATTTTTGTTTTGTTCACAGCTCATCCTCAATACCTGTAACAGTACCTAGCACATATTTTCACAGGCCTAAAGTTTTGGTATTTAGACAGCTAAAAATAATGCATAAATACTAAATTTAATAAATGAAATGATTTTAAAATATGTAATTGTTAAAGCAGACTTTATTTTTATAAGCATACTTACCATAGACAACATATATGAGTGACTACTTGTCCAAATTAAATGAAAAGCAGAGATATTCACACTGTGTTAAGGGTCACAATGGTGACAAATCCTGGTTTAAGGACAACTCCAAATCATAAAAATTACATATATTACAAATTCTTATGTTAAGACAAGCTCTAGACATTCTACTAAAGCAAATATAAAATTCGGATTCAAATTATAGCCAGACTTAAAGACATCCACAAGGATAGATATCCTATATACATGTATATATATGAGGTGTGTGTGTGTGTGTGTGTGTGTGTGTGTGTGTGTGTATTCAAACTGCAAGATGAGACAGCCACCTCCACTCTATGGAATACCACATTGTCTTAAATTGCCATATTGTCTCAAAACTTGCCCTCATGCAAAGAAAAAACCTGAATTTTATCACCAACAGAAAATTTACATTAAAGTTAAATAAAGGGCTCAAAGATCTGATAACCTGTTGGGGGAAAAAAAAAGCTATTTCAAAGAAGTCATTATACTGGAAGATTCAATAGAATAAAATTATAAACTTGATTCAGGCACCTATACGCTATTCATATAGATTCCTGAGGTATGTAACATGATGGTAAAGGGAATATTTTAGAAAAACTAACCTCTGAAGAGTATATGGGAGGCTTGGAGGAATAAGAAACTTGAAGCATGAGAGAGAACCTTATAGGCTATTAACAAAAATCTGGCTATGCATTGATAAGGGCCTGATTTGAAAACTGAAATGGAAGAAAAAGAAGGACAAAGTTTTGAGGGAACTGCCAAATGGGATGGGTTTTACAAAACAAAGAAAACTGCTGTGCAACAACAGACTAATTATGCATGTTTCCTAAACCTGGATTTTTAGAAATATTTGTATTTCCTAAAGCAAAACCTACATTTTCATTATGGTAATTTCTCAGTATTTTAATAGTCAAACACATGAAGAAAATACCTAGAAGGCACGCTTGAAAGTTCTACTCAAGATATATCAAAAGATGGTGTATTAAGGTTTCCTATGGGAAATGAAAACTGAAAAATTTTGCTTTCATTTTTTTCCAGTAAAAAAATGGAATGAATCTTCCCCAGATCTTGGTGAAGAAGTAGCCTAAAGCTACTAAAAGAATACTGGGAGAATATACACCACAGGTATCAGGAAAGTAATTTAATCTGGCTACATATACTCTTGGATTTTCCTCCTATGTATGTCACCTCCCTCCTACCTCTATAGTAAAGTATGATTTTCTCCTTCAGATACTCCCTGTAAAGCAAAAGGATCATATCTAAAAACAGATGAGCCAATTTTTGAAAAATAAAATACTCCATCTACTCCTTTAAGAGAATCTGAAGAGGAAAAATGACCAGATCATTGCAACTCATTTTAAATGGTAATTATGGACAGTAAGGTACAATATACCAATTCTGCTTTAAATATTCTACTAAAAGAGATAGGTATAAAAATCATATATATATACAAATATACTGACTGCCTAATCATCAGCAAGAGCAAAATAACAACACAAAGCTCATCTATCCTCTATCTCAAGCCCAAATCATGAATATTAATTTTTCAGAATTTAATTATTTATATCAAAGACAATGGGTATCTTAAACAACTTGTTTCATCATTTGGACATAATGCTTTTTAGGCCACAAGCTGATATCAACAAAGTACTACAACAAATTTGCAGGAATCAGTAGTTAAGAGTTTCTCTACCTGTGAATATATCATTGATCGATACTAATTTCATGAAGCTTTCAAACTAACCAGAAATACATTTTTTTTACCTGACCTCCCAATATGATATTAACATTTAAAATGAAGATTTAATCAACAGCAAAATCAATCATGAAAACCAACAGTTCAGGATGATCAGATCAAGAAAGAATTATATGACTTTTGGTAAACTTTAAAAATATAGCTACCTGTACTTTGTACAACTCCTATGTTCAAAACATATTTCTAATACTAAATTTATTTAAGATTTTACAATACTAAATTAATAATACAAAGAAAAAAAAGAACTTACTTGGCCATAAAACTATATCAGGAATTCGCTGAAACATTCCTTCCCTGAGCAAAAATATCTCATGAAGACAATGACCTGTTTTGCAGTTTAAAAAAGAACATGTAAAAACATCTTAAATTATAGGAAATTTTAAAATTAAAATCAAATAGTGTTTATATAAAGTTGCTTACCATGAGCTCTAAATACTCGATCATCTGCTTCTTGTGAATACGAAATATTAGTTTCTTTAAGGTCATGAAGAAAATCTTCATTTACAATAGAAGGAGGTGTATCACTAGGATTTAAGGATGCCTAGAAAGTAAAATTGGTTTCTTTGACTCCAAATTGAGACAAAAGCATGGGAAAATACCAAGTAACACATATGGAAACCAACTCTGTGACAGTAACAAGTTATAAATGGTCTGGTTAATCACATTCTATAACATAAGTTATAAAAGCTGTATGTTTCCTCTTTTACATCTATGGTCCACTTTTTCATTGTTTCTGAGGATTGAAATCAAGAACAAAGAAGATGGCAAAGTCTCAAATCTTTCATTTTAGATCAAGGAAACTGGGGGAAAGCTACCTAACTTTTTTCATCACCTATGTTTTCACCTGTAGATAAAATTTACCATTTCTTATACTTCAATTACTATTTTAAAATGATCAACAAGAAACCTCATAATAATAGGTCCATTTTCACAGAACTGCTTTAAAACTCGTAACATAATTATAACTTGATACTTAATTTCAACTACTAGGTAAGCTGGAAAAAAAAAAATCTTTAAAGCTATGCAACACTGGGGAAGTCACCCAACTTCACTGGGCCTTGGCTTCTTCATCTGTTAAATGAGATTATCACCACTAAATTTATACAGCTACTAAAGAAGAAAGGTTAAATGTCATAATTTTTGTGAAAAGCACCAAAAACCTGCCTACCATATAAGAAAAGACTGGCCAAATCAAATCCGCTATTAAAAAAAAGCTACGATATAGTATTTGGAAAAAAGAAAATATAAGAATGTGTAAAATATATATATATGATATTTATATAGTGTTAGTATCTTATTAAAGGGTCTGTATTTAATATTCAATTATATAAGAAATGTTTATTAAGTGTGTGTTATATGCTAGGCACTGTTCTAGGCCTTGGGGATATCGCAGCAAGATAATCAGGGAAAAAAATTTTGACCTCAAGGAATTTATGCTATAGTGAAAAGAAATGACCATAAGAACCCCAACAAAACATACATATTACTATTTTGTTATTAAAAACTGAAAAGGGCTCAAACTCAGAAAAAAAGTGCATGTAAAACTGGTGAAATTTCTGAATACGGTATACAGATTGCATCAATGTAAAAAAAAAAGTAACTACAATAGTCAAAAGAAAGAATTAAGGAAATAAGAGATCTTTTAAGAAAAGTTGAAAGAATTTGGTTTAGGAGGGGTAAGAATTAGTTGTTAACATAATTTACTTAGTAGAATAAAATGTAACTGTGGAATTAGAAATAAATCAAGTAAGTACTTGCTGAATACTTATAGTTCTGAATAACATGTTGGATACAGTAGAGAATATAGTATAAGACATGGGCCCTGCACTTATGGAACTTATATCCAATTTAGAGGGACATGCAGAATACCATGGCATAGCAAATAAATAATAATAAACATAATAACATAAAGAAATGCTATTTTGTTAGTTTGATATGAATACAGTTTAAAGTTTTTTAACCCTAGCTTAAGAAAAGTGAAACTACATGAACAAACTAAAATTATCACTCATATCTTTATCAAATTTTTACTTTTTTATAAGTCTTCTAACCTTCTAAATGCTTTGATATTAAATGTAACATTATATTTTTATTTCAAATTATCCCATATTAATCCTGGATTACTGTCAGTCCATTAAATATCCTAAAATTAATAGCAACTTATAATATTTTTCTAACAGTCCTCCCACAGAAATAGTTCATTTGCACTTCACTACCACCCTATGAAAGGTAAAACAGTTATTGCTCTCATTTCTCAAATTAGGAATAATTGAGGCTCAGAGAAGATAAATAGTTCACCAGACAAATTTCAGATAAATTCTGAGATTAGGATCTAGATCTGTGATGCTGAAAAGTCATCCCTCGAAAACCTAGCAAGGCCAGTAAAACTAGTAAACTATTTAACAAAAAAATCACAACAAATGCATTAAAGCAATTATAACAAATTACAAAGATAAATTTAACTGATTTTGGATTAAACACATGTCCATGCACACACAGACACACCCACACAGACTTAAGCATACTTAAGACTTAGTAATCATTCTTATTTGCTTACTTTAGAGGTAGTTTTATGCTCCAGACTTACTCCAAGGGTATTTTGAATCCAGTCTTTAAAAGTTGGTAAAATCATACCACTAAGAGGATACCTAAGATTACAAAGAAATTAAAACATTAGAGTAAGGGATCTTCTTTTAAATTAAACCTTAGCTTTGGCTTCTAGTAATGGTCAAGTAGTTCCTATCAAAACAATACCCCCCCAACATATAACTACAATCTCTGGACAAAAACAAAACACTCTGAAGGCAGTACAGACAGACAAAAGCAGGCAATAACAGGGGGAAGGGGATGTGATACACTTAGAAAAACAGCATTACACGAGTTTCCAGGGTCTTTTTATTTTTAAAACAGGTTTTAGACTGAGGGACAGCCCAGCTGGTACCATAAAAGGAAACAAAAATACAGAAAATCTATTGTCTTCCTGCCTTGAAAAACCAGAAGGCAGTGTTTGCAGTGAACACAACAGCTGGGAAGAGTATAGAGAAATCACAGAAAAGGAGAGAGTCAGAGAGTGATGTATGTATAAACTCTGTCCAAATGCCTAGCTGACCTTGAATTACACGTGTATGGAGCAGACTTGAAGCAGCCCAACTACGCTTAAAAGAACTCGGTTGCTCACCATCACAGAGGGAAACAGGAATTTGAGAATAGTCAAGTTAACTACTTGATGTTAAAAAAATAAGTAAAACCCCTGCAGAAGAACATAATAGAATACAGAGTTTCTACAATAGCCATTAACACTGTCCAAGATGTACTCCAAAATTACTAGACACAAACAAACAAGAAACTGTAATCCTTAATCAAGAGAAAGGGTAATAAATAGGGAGTGACTCTAAGAAGATCTAAGACTGACCCTAAGAAGATCTAAGATCTACTAAGATCCTAAGTATCACACAACCATTTTAAAACAGCTGTAACTATGTTAAAGGACAAAAGGGAAACTATGTTCCCAGTAAGAAAGAAAAAAAATCTCAGCAGAGAAACAGAAACTATAAAAAGAAAAAAATAGGAATTCTATAATTAAAACTCTTAAAAATTCATTAAAAGAACAGAAGGGCAGACTGGAGATGTCAGTGAATGTACAGGTAAAGCAATAAAACATATACAATCTGAAGAGCAGAGAAAAAGATTGAAAAAATAAACAGAGTTTCAAAGACCTATGGAACAATAACAAAAGACTAACATATATATAATATACGTAACATACATAGAGAGTCCCAAGAAAAACGGGGGGACAAAAAGGAGGGAAATGGAGTAAAACAGTATTTGAAGAAATAATGACAAAAAGTTTCCAAATTTGATGAAAGACATACATTTACAAATTCAAGAAGGCCAGAAGACACTAAGATGATAAATGCAAAGAAACTCACACTACACACATCACAGTCAAATTGCAATTTAGTATATGTGCTACCGAAGCGAGCACAGTCAAATTGCAATTTAAAAGAAAGAGAAAAAGAGGGAGAAAGAAAATGTTAAAAGCATCTAGAGAAAAATGATATATTACATACAACGTAGTAACAATAAAAATTATGACCAGCTTCTCATCAGAAACAGTGAAGTCCAGGAAAAAACTGAACAACATTTTTAAACTGCTGGAAGAAAAAGAATGTCAACCTGGAATTCTGTATCTGGTGAAAATATACTTCAAAACTAAAAGTTAACTAAGACATTTTCAGATGAAAACTGAGAGAACCTGGTGCCAGCAGACCTACACTGCAAGAAATGCTAAAGTGGTTTCTATAGGCTGAAGGGAAATACAACACTTAATATAAACTGAAATCTTCAAGACAGAATAAATAATAACAGAAAAAGTAAATATGTGGGTAAATATAAATGACTATTTTTTCTTAATTTCTTTCCAATATTTATGACTTTTAAAAATTCTATCATGGAACTAGAGGGTATTATGCTAAGCGAAACAAGTCAATCAGAGAAAGACAATTATCTGATCTCACTCATATGTGGAATTTAAGAAATAAAACAGAGGACCATAGAGGAAGAGAGGAAAAAATAAAACAAAATGAAACCAGAGAAGGAGACAAACCATAAGAGACTCTTAATCATAGGAAATAAACTGAGGGTTGCTGGGGGGGCGGGGGCAGAGGAAGGGGTAACTGGGTGAGGGACATTAAGAAGGGCATGTGATGTAATGAGCACTTGGTATTATATATATAAGACTGATGAATCACAGACCTGTACCTCTGAAACCAATAATACATTATATGTTAATTAATTGAATTAAAATAACAAATAAATATAAAAAATACTATCACTGTGTCACAGAGTTTATGATATGACAACTATAAAAAGAACACGGGATAGTAAATAAACCTATAGATTTGCAAGGTACTTAGATTTTACATGAAGTTGTACAAGAAATTTAAAACACACAAAAGAGCTCTATAGAATAGGAAGAGTATGGAAAAAACTAGATTTGCTACTCTGATTTTGTTTCCTATGTTTTCCATCCCAATCCTTAAATAGTTTATATGAAATATGAACATTATTTTATATACACAAGAAATCCTAAATTTTATTCATTTATTTTATTTATTTATGTAAACATATATGTGTGTGTGCATGTGTATGTGTACATATATATGAGAAGATTGATGCAGAAAACTCAAGTGCTTAGAAATCCAGCTTTTCAGTTTTGGAAATACTTGTAAGAGGTGGCAAAATATTAAATAGCAATAAGTGCTAAAAATAGATAAAATAAGTATCCTACCCTAGATTAGTGTAGTGAAGAAGGCTGATATGCAAACAATAATGATCCAATGTGTTATAACAGCACTAATATAATAGCTCTCTGAAAAGACCAAAACAACACTTTAAAATGTGTATTTTAAAACAGTACTTTAAACTTTTTACTTAAATAAACACATAGCATTTTCATGTGCCAGGCATTGTTCTAAGTGTTTTATGTATATTAACTTAAAATAATGCTATGAGGTTGGTGCTATTATCCCTATTTTATAGATGAGGAAGGTAAAGCACAGAAATTAACTTAAGATGTTAAGTAAGTTAAGTAACTTAATCAAGGTCACATAGCTAGTAAGTTACAAAACAGGATATGAACCAAGTAATAAATAAGGCTTCAGTCTGTGTTTTTAACCACTATATGATGCTGCCCTTAGTCTGATTCTTCCCTTACCACCATTCCAAGTGAGATCATTATTCTAAAATTCTTTATGAATGATTATTTATAAAATCATTGTACCTATATTCAGTAAATTTTTTCACTATAATGTTCTTGCAACTTCTCTACTCCCCCAACAAAATGATGATGGGACAGCCAAATAAAACTATATTATAGTGGCTTTATTTTTATTTGATTTTATAAATATTTTGCTTATAAAATACTGAAGTACGATATACATTAAAAAATATAGACAAGTTTAGAGCGGAATTTTTACAAAGTAAACCTCCCACGTAATCAGCGTTCAGATCCAGAAATAGAACACTTACCAGTACCCAAGAAACACTCCCCTCCATGCCCTTTCCAGGCATACCACGTTCCCTCACACCAAAAGAACCACTATCCTGTTAACATTACAGAGTAATTTTGACTGTTTTTGAGCTTTATATAAATGAAATCATATGAAATGTACTCTTTTTGTTAGCCCTCTTTTGCTCAAATATTATATTTGTGAGATTCATCTATGTTGATACATGTTGTTAACATTCATTCATTTCAATGGCTTAATTCCACTGTGTGAGTACAGCAGTTTCTTTATCCACTGTACTGTTGATAGACAATAGTGTTATTTAGTTTTTGGTGCATGCAGGGACATTCTTGAACTTGTTTTCTGAAGAATATATCACATTTTTCTGACAGGTACATAACTAGAGTGGAATTTCCAGGCCATCATCTATGCATATGTTCAACTTTAGTAGGTATTGGTAGATAAATTTTCCAATATGTTTACAACTAACAATGATATATGGACTTAATTCCACATCCTTCCCACACTTGGTGCTATAATTCTTTTTAATGCGAAACATTCTACTGGTAATCTCTTACCCATTTTAATTTGAATTTCATTGGTTACGTATGGGTTTGAGTTTCTATTCATGTATCTATTGACCATTTGGATATTCTGTTTTCAATGCCAGTTCATCTTTTGCTCATTTTCCTATTGGATTACTATTGTTTTCTCATCGATGTATAAGAATTATTTATATATTCTGAAATCAAGGATGTATGTATTAAACATTTTCTCTTGCTTTATGACTCGTCTTTCATTCTCTTAAGGGAGTCTTTTAATGAAAAGGAGTTGTATATTTTAATATTATCTAATTGATTCATTTTCTTCCTTTATAAAAGTTAATACATTTTGTTCTCTGCTTTTTGACAACCTCAAATTCAGAAAGACATTCTGTATATTCTAGCAATTTTACAGTTTTAGCTTATACATTTAGGTCTACAATCTATCTGGAATTGATCTCTGTATCTGATCTGAAGTAACATCAAAATTAATTTTTTTCAAGATGATAGTTTAAATGGCCCTATAGCAATCTTTATTTCCTGCATGTGTGTGTGTGTGTGTGTTTAAATGGAGAAAAGAAGTACTCTAGTAGTCACTATCCATTCCAGATCAAAAAACAATTTAAAAAATAATAATAAACTAACACTGACAACAAATCAGAATAAACAATAAATTGGTCTTAACATCTATGTGAGGCAAATTATTTAAAAAGTTCAAAGTATAATGTTTGCTCAAGGTTATTTCCCATTCATTTCATCAGAGCTTGAGAACCAGCAAAGCAAAACTAGCCTGAAAAATTACTTTGATTTCACAAAGACAGTATTTTAAAAAGCCAGAGGATAATATATAAACTCTGTACCAAAATTAAATATATGTTTATAATAATGCAGAATTCAGTATTTAAAAAGCTGGTATTAAGGCCCATCTAAAGGAATGTTTAACTGGAAGTGACAAAAAGCACTCATTTTATCACGTAATTTTAACAGTTACACAGCATGGGTTGAGTGGGTGTCACTCCTCATGTTAACTTCAAATTATACAACAAAAATCCTATCTAAAGTTGTCAAATCAGTCTTTACATAAACATTAACAAACAA